ACCCCTGTCCTGCCTCTCAACAAGTAAAATTAGGGAACACATTCAACATTGTTTGGACATCAGGTCTCTGGTCCTATTGAAGGATTATAGCTTATGAATTGGAATCTTATGGAGATGCCAAGCCCACGATGGGAAAGACTGGCAGAGCCTTGGCTGATGGTGTCACTTATCATTCTTTAATCTTAACATGGTATCTCAAAGAACCATTGGAGATGAAGGCTTCTCCATGGGGGACACACATATGACTGCTGCTGCAAATCACCTCCTGCAAATTCAGGAAAAAAGTAAGTTCTAAAAGGTAAAATAGTCAGCCACAGGTCAAGAGGTCAAGATGAGCAGCAGATAAGGAAGTCAAGCCTCCTGTTTCTTGGCCTTGCTCTTCAACCCAATTCTGCACCACYTCTCCCACTGTCAAAGCCAAGGCACACCAAAAATACACATCAAAAACCTACATATCCTGAATTATCASCTCAGAGTTAAAGCAAGATTCCTGTACTGTGCAAACTGAGTATTTCCCACAGGATAACTTTAGCATCTCTCTTCTCCCCATGTGCATCCCTATTGCGTGTTGGAACTAGGAAAGGAGATGCTACATTATCCAGTACATAAAACTGGTGGTTCTTTGGTAGCTCTGAGCATTTATGGTAAAATACCAATGAGAGTTTCTTCCCACCAGTCAGGGAAACTGCTGTGGGGAGTGACTCAGCTGGGACATAGTCCAGAAGGCAACAGGAGATCAGGGGCCCCCATGGCACTTTTCCAGTCTTAATCAGCACTGTCTGCATGGTCATAGAGACTGATAAGCTGCCAGAAGTCATTTCTTTCTGTAAGACTTGAAACAGTGGTCCAGAACAGTTGTGATCTTTGTGTGTATTTGGTTGGYTTTTTTTAAATGCAAAATCAAGGGCTGTAATTTCCCATGGCGGCCAACAAACAATTTTGATAGTTTCATTTTAATCTCCTATAMGTATCCATTTCTCCTCCCTCAACCTTACCCAATTTCCACTCCACTAAGTATTATTTTTTCCAAACAAATCAGACATGCCTGTCTACAATAGCATATTTATCAACAGGGAGAGCTGTGATAGAGAGAAACTATCCCTACTGCACAGAGCATAAGACATTTGGGAATCCTTTCTAATAAAAAGGGATTTGATTAAAGACAGCCAACTACCACAGATCAGCAACTGAATCATCAGCAAAGAAGGAAGAGCAGCTTAGACTTAAAAGACTTCAATTTGCTGATATGCCAAGGACTTCCCAGGAGCAGTCACTCCAGAACCTACAGGAGGATGGGAGGGGCCATACACCAAGGATTGGGGTGCTTATATTTATTGTAGTAGCATGGTCTTAACGAAGTTAAGTTAGAATACCCAACATGCACATTTAACTCCTAAAAATTCACAGGATTTTTTTTTCTATTATTATGCTTCGTGATATTTCCATGTTTAAGAACTGCCTTGCCACAGSCAGCTAGAGGATTCCCCAGTGACTGGACCATGCAGCTGTGGTAAGTCCTGGACACACACAGCTGCCAGCTGTGATCCTGCTGCTCCCAAGTGTCYCCAGCATGCTGCTCCTGGCTCCCACCACACTCCCTGGCTGCCCAGGAGAGCAGTGTGATCCATGCCCTGCTGCCAGCTGCATGTGTTTGTGTGAGCAACCACCGCCTAGAAGAGCTCTCCCAACTCTAAAACCATCTTCAGTGTTTCCACCCAAATCTGCAGAGAGGTGCAGCAGCACAGACTGGATGGAAGTGCTGGCTGTCCTACTCCAGAGCTCAGCTCACTGAGTCTGCCAGCAGCACCAGACAGCATTTCCAGGGCAAAGAGACAACTTTAGAAACTCCTACTCCTCTTCCTTCCCAAGCAACCTTCACTCTGCCCACTGCTGGGCAGATTCTGCTGACTGCAGAACCAAGAYGGCTTGATCAAAAATCAGAGATATGATGAGTGAACTTGCAAAAGGAAGTTGGTTACAGAAAAGATCCCAGAGTGCTGGAGGACCAAGTAAAATGACCTTTCTCCAGCCTGACAGTTCAAATGTAATTATTCCAACAAATTATTTTCATGACTTAATATAACGCCTTGCAGCTTTCTAGCAAGGTTAATTAGATTCCTCAATTCAAAATCTATCTGCTCTTAACCAACTTTTAATATGCTGAAATCCAGTTTTCTAAATTCAAACTAATAAAAGTGATTAGCTGACAGCTATCTGGTATGCTACAATTACCATGGCATTTAGACCTCAGGCATAAGATATTTAATGCAAATCAGAGTCAATGTCTCTGCCCATTTGTCCTTTTTCGGATTATTTGATCAATGTGCCATATGAATCCTGTACAGTCCACACTACCATACTAAACRACTAAAGAACAAGGGTAGAGATATTGGTTTAGACAGTCAACCAAAGTTGAAAGACTCTTATTTTCCTCCCACACTTAATTTGTTCCTTCCACATGAGCACAAAGTTACTGAAAGGCACTGGCTGACAGCTCAAGTAGAGATGGGTATTTAGTTCTGACATAGCCAGAATTAGTATGAAACTCCCAGCCTGCACTGCCATATCAGAAATCTTCATCCACTGTGACTCCACAGACCATCTTCCACCGGGGAGGAGGCTGGGCTGGAACAAACCTACAAGATGAGGGTAGCCTACCTCTTTGACTGTATCCAACCATAACAAGCATTCTGTATTTTGTTCGATAAATAATGTTCCCAAAAGGCTTTATGGGGCACAGCAGGCTTAGAAAGCTGAGGAGATGTTCAGCCCAACACGTGGTTCTTTGGCACATCAGGAATGCCAAGGCTGGACACCACTTCAGTGATGAACTTTAGCGGCACACGCTCAGTGAAATCAGACGATCAACCAGGTGCAGTTTGTAATTACACAAAACCTGTCCAGGGTAGCACTAAGGTTGTTTTGAGTTTTCTGCTGTGCATCATGCATGATCATTCCATCTTTGATCATGCTATTGTTCATATAAATAACACTGGCAGAACTTCTGAGTGCTCTGAAGCCTCCTTTCCATTTTCTCATCTCCTGCTGAATTAAGACTATTGGCATGGCATTTCTCTGACCTCCCATCTGATAGCCAACCTGACGACTAAACACTGAGAGACTTTATGTTCCAAACCTTTCACAGCTATGMATCCCTTTTGGATGAAGAAACTTTGCTGTACCACCCTCTCAAACAGAGCCGAGCCATCTTAGTCATACAATATTAGTCTGCAAAATCCAAGCATTTCAGCTTCATAAATACAAGCRGTAAACAAAACTAAAGCTTCACTTCAGGAAGCAATTTCCGGGCTGTGAGGAAAATTAATCACTAGAACAGCTTATCAGGGTAGGTGGTTGACTCACAATTGCTCGAAGTTTTTAAGATAAGATTAGATCTTTATTTTTTTTTTTTTTTTTAAATCATGATTCAATCATGTTTCAGGGAGAAACTGAGAGAAGGACATTAGGCAGTATAAAGGCAAGGTCCTTTCTGACCTTGGAGGCTGTGAATCTCCAAGTTCTTTGTTCATCTGCCTATTTTCTTGGGCTAAAAGGAAAACTGGATGGGCTYTGGTCCATCGACCAACTCCTGCCACACAGTTCTGCATTAAGAAAATTGCTGTAATCAGATCTCATGCTTCAGGACTTCAGCCATTTGCCTGAAGGGAGCAGAAAGAAAGTTTCTCCCTCTTGTCCACCCAGCTAATGGCTAAATATATCTTATGTTTATTTGGATGTTGCTTCGTGTTTAAAACATCAGGGAGTGAACCCAGATGGCTACGGGCAGAGATGAAGTCAAATGCAGCAACACAGAAAATGCTTCATGGCTATTTTCTATTCAGTTTGCCATTCCTGCTCACACCTCAGGTCTGTGATAGTTATGATGACTATCAGTGTTTACARAGAAGATTTTTGATTTTTAGGGCGCAGTCCACAGAAGGCAGAAGATACTGATAGAGGATTGGAACTGATAATAACCCCATCTACAAGGGCAATGTTTGTTTGATGAGAACACGTTGAGCTTCTCTTATTACTAGATCTTTGCAACTGGAAGATCCTTGTTTGTTATGGTCCTATCTGCTTTTTGRTTAAACCAAACCACAAAAAATTCTTTTAGCCAGAAATGTTTTGGTCCAACCAAACTACACAGCAAATTGACCTGGGGGCAGTCTAAATGAAGTTTTAAAGAAATGGTGAAATAAAGAACACAAAATGAATGGCCTGTCCCAGTCTTAAACTCGAAAAACTGTACCAGTTTATTTCATAATAACATTATTACCTAACCCTGTAAGAAACTAAGCACATGGGCAGATGATCAATTGTACCCAAGACTCATGACTTCAATTCAGAGTTCAGAGGCCTTACCRTCTATGCTTCATGTAAAGGCAAGATATAATTCTAAAAGATGCCTAAGATAACTGTACTCTATACCACTTAAGAAGGAAATTAGATTGTCATCTTTTTCCAGGCAAGGAAGATGAGATGGTTATGAACTGATTRCTCCAGATTCCTCTTACTTATACTTGTTGGACCCAGTTCTGGGTCCCCATGTATAACCAACCTCATTGACTCAAAATGGATTTCCTTTTCATCTATTCCAGCACACAGAAAAYGAAAATCCATGCCTTGGAAGCAGAACACATTTACACTGCCAGATTTTTTTGCAGCTGCAATGAGAAGGGATGGGGCAGACAGGCACGACAGCAACCACACCTGAATTCAGACTGGTAGCCTGGAAGGTGGGGACAGATGGTGTGAAAATGAACCAGACACTGAAAAATTCAACTTTATATCCAGAAAGACTATAAACATACAGTGAGTGAGCATGAGATTTATGCTGAAATTACAGAGGAATTCCTATGGATGATTACACTCCCAGCTCAAGCACGGAAAACACATCCATCAACACGAGTGTCACTACGTTACCAGCACAGCTGTAAGGCCTCCCATTACTGAACCCAGTAAATACAGAAGACACGGACACTTGTGACATGGCTCACCAAAGTAGTCATCAGAGGGAGGATTCTCCATGTCATACAGCATTTTCTTGGTCAGATGTTCCAGCTCATCCTCAGGCCKGAAGGCAGGAGTGCTTGATGCAGGTCCAGAGCTTGGATACCCACTCTGAAAAAAAAGGGGACAGGCTGTGATGTGATACAAAAGCATTCACACACTGTAAGAGAGTGTATTGGCTGTTCAATGTTGAACTTCATTSTTTGTCTTATTTTTCTTTCTTTTAAGACCCAAGGGATTTAAGCAAGTAAACACCTCACTTAATGTAATGAAAATGGACCTGAAGAACATCCAGARAAGTGCTATATATCCTCCTAGAATGGGAAGCATCCTGTGCCTCATAATTAGATGTCTACTGGGTAGCACATAATAATAAATAAAGGAGAAAATTATTCCAARAATAACTTGATAGAAACGTTTTCCAAAACTGAAAAAGGCTTTGGAAGCATTTAAGTTTRGACTTGGTAAAAGCTGCTATCACTTAACTACACAACATAACAGACAAGCCTACAGTGGTAGAGTATATGGACAAAGACAGATAATCCCAAGATGCTAGTTATGTTCTCTTCTTGTTTGTTTTGATACAAAGCCTGATGCTAACAGCGAGATCAGGAGCTGGTCCACAGATTTTTAGTACTAGAGACACAAAAGTTTTAATATATGTGTAGAAATGGAGATCTCTTGGGCCTTCATATGCCAACAGCTGCATATAGTATTTGCAGCTTGTCTCAGGGGGTCTTCTCCCTGGAAAACACCCGAAGTATGGCATATTGTGAGAAGCCTAGAAATAGCCTTATGCCTAGAAGTTTCTTAGAAGAAGCTAAGTTTGGTGTCCATAAYAAGAAACTCGGTCATTTCAGGATTAAAAAATGCTGACACCAGCTCTCCTTGTGTGCACTGCTTTCTTGAAAGACTTGCATATGARAACTAACTTATTTATGAAACACATCATTTCAGTAAAGCAAGTGATTTCATTGATTAATTGCTGCCTAYATCAAGCATTGGACCTTTGATATGAAACAAGGAAGCATTCTTCCATGCTCCATAACTACTTAAATAGCAARAAAATGTAAAATCACTAGAGAAACTATACACTGACCACTTACAAAGACTACATCTGACATGATGAATCTTTATTGAGCCAGTGATATTCAACAGAGAAAAGCAGCTTTAAAGCACTGCACTTCAAGAGAATTTAACWATATACTTTTATGCTTTTTTCTTTCAGGCAAGAAGGAGATTTCAAATGAGACATCAATCAATGTAGAGAAGGTCTCAGAACAGCACTTAGAAATAATACTTCAATCATCCACTCTCCAAATCCAAACACCTGCATGTTCCTGACCCTGTCATACTCATTTTTTAAGATCCATGCTAAGCTGTACCATCAGCTTCCTCCCTTGTTGGCCTCAGCAGGTGCCTGTGCWCCCTGGAAGGGCTGGATTTGCTGTGCACACACTCACACAGCAGCTGCACCCTCTGCCTGCCCAAAAACAACTCCGTAGCAGAGTAGCAGCAGTTCACARGGGAGAGGAGTGGCACAGTCCCCTGGGGAAAAAGTGTACCTGGAACAATCCCAAGGCTGGATGAATTTCTCTGAAGGGATGTGCAAGAACTCTTTGCATGCATTCAGCCTCCCTGACTGACAATATAGATTGGACCTAACATACATTCAGGTTTTCCTAGAGATCTTTTTTTTTTTTTTCTTATGGATTTGTTCTGAACAACATTTAAGTATTTTGTGCATTTCTCCAGGAATTCTAGTTGACTAGCAGTTGTTCTGAGGAAGCTGTTGAATACCTGGAAATCCAGAATGTCCACACAGAGAGTAGTAAACTTTTTCTGTACAAATACAACTATGCTGATGTGTTTGGGTTATCACAACTTACTTTTTAATACAGAGATGCAGGCAGTATGATGCACTTGCATTTGCCTTCTATATCATGTAAGTGTCAGCTCTGTGGGATACATAATTTTGGCGTGGATAAAGCCATTCATAAGACTAGAATCAGCAGAGTCAGGAATTTGACCCAGAACACCCAGAGTGCCTTGGCCAGTGCTTTGTGGCTGTTTTTAGAAGGGCTACTCTACAACCACCTAATTAGAAATAATATATAGTATAATCCTAAAAAAAAAAAAAGTTTATTAATAAGTCAATTAAAGGTGTCAAATGTAAAACATTTAATCTTGAAACAACATGTTTTTTTCCCTTCGCTCTCTTGCTCCTAAGAGCTGATCACAAATCTTGTCTGAACATGTATTTTAACACAGTAAGTGCAGCCAAGGATTTATTAGCTTGAGAAATCAATCTGGCAACTGAGCTTCTCAAAGTATCATTCCAGGTATTGTACCTATTTCAGTTTCCATGCAGAAAAGAAWGACCATTGCCATCCCATCAACAGGGATGCCTTTCCTAGACTTTGCATGGAGAAGACAGGGCAGTCTGAAGCTGATGCTGGTCCCCATCCCTGTATTCCCCCTGTTGGTCATCTCCAGATGCTGAGCTCTGTCCAGACACCATCAGAAACACTGCCTTTACCCTTGAGCTCTGTAGTATAAATGAACCAAAACAGAAAGCAGAAGCCAGTCTGCTCACAGCAAAGGGCAGTGACATAACCAGAACTGAAGCAATTTGCCCACCATCACACATGGGCCCTAAGGCAAAGATCAATCCTGCATCCAGGCTGCTGGGAGCCCCGTGCTCTCCAGCCTCTCACACAGCCCACTGGGGCTGTACCTGGCATTTCAGACCCACGCTGAACACTCTGCAGCCCAAAGCCACTGCACCTGCAGGTCACCACAGCCAGGCTTTGGCAGGACAGCCCAGGCAGGAGGYGAGTAAAGCCTCTCCCTCTTTTCCATGCTGGCTGCTCGCACCTCCCAATCAGGGAGCCTCTGCCATGTCAAATTCATAAGGGCTTGGACTAGGCCTTTAAAACAAAAGACCAAAATCTGCAGATTTTCAGTTTTGTCTGACTCTCTCTGGTTTTGGAGGCCATGCTGCCTCATACACACAATAAATAGGCCGCTCTCATATTTTATCTGCATTGCACTTTTCCAAACCAGGCAGATTGCTAATCCAGTACCTGATGTCAGCAGAAATAACAAATACCAACCACAATGTTATGAGACATTTTAACTTATTTTGACTAAAATGCTATGCCTTTCTGACCAGGATTTAAGTAGTGCTAGGCACATCTTTTTCCTCCTCCCATGGCACATGCTGACTRTGTGCCTCCAGGAAAATGCATTTCATGCATATGAACGTGCTGTTGAGTTTGCTGGGACATGCACACACACAAACATAGAGRGAAAAGTGTATCCTTAGTCCAATATAAAATGCTTGTTTCAGCAAAACAGTTTCCTTCCTCCTCCTTTGTTAGGTCAGGGTAAAAATATAACTCTGGCTTTCCTTGCAAAACAGTTGTGGTGTTGTTGTTTATATTAAACTTCCTCTATTTTCTCTTGATGTGTATAACGATCAAGGCTGTCTAGAAATTCAATTTGCTGCCTGATACACCACAGTTAACTTCATGCATTCTCTTTTCTCCATGATGCCTCCACGCACAAATATCCACTTCCTTAGCTAGACTCAGCTCAAGATGGGGTCTGCACTGACTTGCAGACCCTGAGCACCACTCTGTCTGTCTAACCACAGAAGCATCAGGGATGATAAACCAACCCATGAAAATGGAAAAGAGCTCAGCAAAAAGTTGTCAGGAGGGACTATGCTTTGGAAGCACAGGCACCTGAGGCCCTCCTTTGGTACTGCCATCAAACATCAAGCAGCTTTAGGGATGAGAAGATTGCAGGAGCAATCTCAGGAAGAGGAGATGATTGCAGTAGCATGTGCATGTGCAAAAGTATTCCTAAATAAACTTAGTTCTGTGCATTTAATTGGGATGTTGAGGAAAACACCAGCACTCCCAGGGTTAAGYGCTGTAGCAGAAAATATCTTCATGCTACAAAGGAAGTGAGCTAATTGCTTGTGCCACTATCAAAACACTGCAAACAACATCTGGCTCATCTTCCTTATTAAAGTTCAGTTCCTGAAAAGCCAGGTCAAAAGAAGCAGTCGTGTGGAATCACTGYGTAATTATTTTGGTGCATGAAGCTGATACTTGTTTCAGTGCTTCCCTGGCACATGTTTTCTGCTCCAGACCTGTCTCAGATGTAAGGGCTGCCCAGAAAAGGGAGCTCTGCAGTCAGTGTAGTGCAATCACCAACAAGAACCTTCCACATCCACACATATTTAGCCAAATGGACAAAAATTGCAGTGAAAAATYTGCAAAGACATCTGAAGAAGATGCKGTGATGAATGCATCATCATTCAGAATACACTATATGTGGTCATTTTTCTTTTCCATTTGGAAATATTGTAGAAGAAGCTTCTTCTCTGAGAGAAAGTAACTTCAATTACGTGTTCCMAGTTAGAGAAATGTGGAAATTATCTTCTTTTCAGAAGGTAGAATTAGCCCAATTTGGAATTGAAAGGCAGCCAGAAACATCTTTCACTGATAGCTACTTTCTCTTCATTTTTTTCTTCCTGGCTGATCTGCATATAGTCCTTTCCTTTCACTTCACTCACCAAAACTCATCATCGGTTAAATAGYATTGCAGCATAATTTTTTATTCAATGGTTTGACAAAGACCACACTTTTTTGTTTAAGTTATTGACTGTCCAAAACAATTGCAAACTTTCAGAGCAAGAAATCCACCATAGTTGCACATCTTTCATGAGTTGGGCTCCCAAGGCAGTATCAAGACTGCCTACAGGTACAATTCAGTTTATAATTAAGACCAACTTTCACAGAGGAGATATGCTAGAAAAAAAAAAATTAATACTTGATTTATTTTTCCAGGGAAAGGTTACAGCTSCCAGAGTACACACAGATTCCTGAAAAGACGACTCTGCCTGGGATTCATGCAACACGCACGTTCCTGGGTTTACTCTTGGTCAGAGGATAACTCATCAAAATCCTCTGAAGAAGCTGCCTTCCATGAGGAGATACCCAGTGACAGACAGTGCCCTCCAGCCCAGCCCAAAATCACAAATCTTGTGCTGCCAGGAGAGAGGGCTCTTCTGGGACATGCCAGGGTGGGACAAGCTA